ATTGCTGGTTTTGTTGATTTGGAGGTGCTCTTTCTTTCTTTGGGTTAACTGGGCTAGCAGTCTGTCAATCTTGTTTATCTTTTCAAAGAACTAGCTCTTGGCTTGATTGATTCTTTGTATTTTTTTCTTTGTTTCAATTTCATTAATTTCTGCTCATATTTTTGTTGTTTCTTCTTGTCTGCTGGGTTTGGGTTTCATTTGTTGCTCTTCAAGTGTCTCAAATTGCAATGTTGAGTTATATATTTGTATTTTTTCTGATTTTTTAATATAGGGACCATAGAGCTATAAAATTCCCTCTAAGGACAGCTTTCAGCATGTCCCAGAGGATTTGTTGTATTGTATTGTCCTTTTCATTTAGTTCCATGAAATCTTTTATTTCTTTCTTAATTTCTCTTTTGACCCATTTATCATTCATGAGTGTGTTGTTTAATCTCCATGTGTTCAAGTTGTGTCCAGGGCTTCTTTTGGTGTTGATTTTAAGCTTTATTACATTGTGGTCTGATAGAATGCATTATGTCAATCTTTTTGTATTTGTTGAGGTTTCTTTCGTGCTCCAGTATATGGTTGATTTTAGAGAAGGTTCAATGGGGCACTGAATAGAAAGTATATCCTTTGGTACTTGGGTAGAATACTCGGTAGATGTCTGTTAGGTCCATTTGATACATGGTTTTGTTTAATTCAGATGTCTCTCTGTTAAGTCTCTGGCCTGTTGACCTATCTAATGGAGATAGTGGGGTATTGAAGTCCCCTACTATTAATGAGTTGGGGTTAATTTGGGTCTTAAAGTCCTGTAGTATTGTTTTTATGAAGTTGGGTGCACCAGAGCTTGGTGAATATATGTTCATGATTGTAATATCTTCTTGATTTATTGTTCCTTCAATCAGAATGAAGTGGCCCTCTTTATCTCTTCTGATTAGTTTTAGTTTAAAGTCTGCTTTTTCAGATATTAGAATTGTTATGCCTGCTTTTTTTTAGTACTGTTTGCTTGTTATATTTCTTTCCATCTTTTCACCTTAAGGTAGCACCTGTCCTTGAAAATTAGATGAGTTTCTTGCAGACAACAAAAAGATGGGTTTTGTTTCTTAATCCATTCACCTAGTCTATGTCTTTTGACTGGAGAGTTCAGTCCATTGATATTTTAAGTTATTAATGAAAGATGTGCATTGAATCCTGTCATTTTTATTTCTCTTCACATGCTTTATATAGCTGTACTTTCCCACAGTTATACCTTCGTTGGATTTCTTTCTGAAATCCCTTGGGTATAGTCATTGATTTCTTCAGCTCTTTGTATTGCTTCCAGAACTCTGCAGGGCTGGTTTTGTGGATCTGAATTCCTTCAGCCTTTTATGTCATGGAAGATTTTTCTTTCCCCTTCAACTATAATAGACATTTTGGCTGGGTATAGTAATCTGGGTTGGCATCTGTGGTCATTTAAAACTAGGAATACTTTGGTCCAGGCTCTTCTGGCTTTCATAGTTTGCACTGAAAAGTCAGCTGTAATCCTAATGGGTTTTCCTTTATATGTGATTTGTTGTTTTTCTTTTGCAGCTTTCAGTATTGTCTCTTTGTACTGTATGTTTAGTGTTTTTACTATGATGTGCTGTGGAGAGTTTCTTTTCTGGTCCTGTGTATTTGGTGTTCTATATGCTTTTTGTATTTGTATAGGCATATCTTTCCTTAATTTGGGGAAATTTTCTTCTACAATTCTGTTGAAGATCTGGTCCATACCATTATCCTGAGATTCTTCTCCTTCCTGTATGCCTATGATTCATAAGTTTGGTCTTTTTATGGTGTCACACAATTCCTGCATATTCCATTCTTGTGATTTCTTAAATTTTTCATAATTTTTGCTTGCATGGCCTAGTCCGTCCTCTTTATCTTCCAGTCTTGATACTCTGTTTTCCATTTTGTTCATCCTATTGGCGAGGTTTTCCCCTGTCACTTCTAATTGGCTTACTGAGTGTTTCACTTCCTTCTTCATTTCAGCCTGACTGATCTTCAATATTTCTATCTCTTTTCTGAATTTATTCAGAAGCTTATCCCTATCTTCCTTCAGTTATTTGATTTCTTTGTGTGTTCTTTAAATTCACTGAATTCTTCTACCATGTTTATAACTGTTCTTTTCAGTTCCATGTCCTGAATTATCTCTAGGGACTTCTCATTGTACTCCTCTAGAGAACTATTGATATTTGGTGGAGATATGTTAATTTGGTTTTCATGTTATTATTTTTTCTCTGTGGTTTTGACATATGAATTTCTTTTGTAGTTTATGATTCTTGTGTGAGACTCAAGCCTTCAAGTTTAGGTCTGCTTCTTTTTGTAAACTTTTTCTGCCTTTGTGGTTTACTTTTGTTGCATGAAAAGCTGGTTCATCTAAGCTTGCTGTTCCATATTTTGATTTTATATTGGAGTGGCCAAATTGCTTTTGTTTTCAGGAGTTCCCAAGAGGCCCAAGTCAAATGAAGATCAGATGCTCTCAGGCTTTCTCCTAAGGTCTGGATCCCTCCAGGAAAGATGTTGTCCTCAGGAATTTGGGAGTTGGACTGGCCTGAGAGCAGCTCCCAGGAAAGATGATGGTCTTAGGCAGCTGGTGGCTGTGCCACCCAGGGATGCCAAGAGATGGTGGGGATGGGAAGAGGTCCCAAGGACTCCTGGGGACTGCAGGGCGGAACTGGATTGGTCTGGCTGCAAAAGTTCACGAAGCAGTGGTGGCTCCAATCAGAGAGGTCAGCTCTGGTGTTTTTGGGTGCCAAGACAAGAAATGGGCCAGTACCTGGGCCAGGACCCCGGCTTGGATGAGAGATGGACGTGGGGTAGCTGGGAGGGTAAATGAGGCTGGGGGAATCAAGGCGTGGTGGGCACTGATGGACTTACCCAGAAAAGAGGCTGGCAGTTTGTGCAGCCCAGGGAAGCAGAGGGAGGTGAGGGCAGGACCAGGCCCAGAAGGCTCCTGGGGACCGTGAGAAGGAATTGGGTTCATCTGGATGCAAAGGATCAGGAAGCAGTGGTGGTTCTGGTGGAGAAGTCAGCCCCAGTGTCTGGGGTGCCAAGACAAGAAATGGTACAGTACCCAGGCTAGGAGGAGAGACAGGTGAGGGAGGTTTGAGGGTGAATGAGGCTGGGGGAGTCAAGGCATGGTGGGTGCTGATGGACTTACCCAGGAGAGAGGCTGGCAGGTTGTGCAGCCCAGGGAAGCAGAGGGAGGTGAGCAAATACTTGCAAACTTTATTCTTTATGCCAGTGTTTCATGTCTCCTTTTAAAAAATTGATTATTTTTATTTTATGTATATGAATATATTGCTTGCAAGCATGGAAGTGCATCTGTTGTCATGAGGAGGTGAGTGCATAAGTGTAGTGTTTGAGGAGGTAAGAAGAGGGTGTCAAATCCTTTGGAACTGAACTTATGAATGGTTGTTAGCCTTCACGTGGGTGCTGGGACTTAAATCCAGGTCCTCAGCAGAGCTGACAATGCTCTTAGCTGGTGGGCCATCTCCAAGACCTGATGTCTCTTTTTGAAATTATGAATAATAGTGTTGGAAAGAGATTGGCATGGCATGCTATCTAGACTTGTAGAAAATATGTAAATGCCTTACTGGTTTTTGACTCCTCCAGGACTGCCTGGAAGTGGTAGAGAACAACAGTTCCTAGGTAATGCCCCAGCTCCTGATCCCTCTTTCTTGCTGATATATTGCATTTAAAATATTAACTTCTTGGGGCTAGGATTGACTTTTAAAACTATTCTTTGTAACTAGTGTTTGGGTGGATGGATAGATGGATAGATGGACAGATGCAAGAATTAATCTGAAAAGAGTCCAATCCATAAAAATTACACATAAAGTTTGCATTAGACAGATAATCTCATCCTGCAGGAGACAGGGATGGGATGTGGGCATGTGGAGGCCACAGTCCCTGGCCTTGCTGGAGTTTAGGGTTTTCACCAGAGAGTGTGGCAAATTTCAAATGGGTCCAAATGAAGGACAGCCTTGGATGCCAGACCAGCAAGGGGTTGCAGGGGCTGCAAGCTTCACATTATGGGAGTGAGTGATCTGGATGGGAAACGTATATTTGGAAATGGTTAGGATGGTAAAAATAAATTGTTTTTAACTAAGAAAATATGTAAATACTATTTTTCCTTAAAAATGAAAATGAAAATAAAGTGATTGTTATAAGCCACAGGAGGGACCTAGGGAGGATACCTTCCAAGGGGAGATGACGGTGCTTAGAAAATGGGTAAGATAATCATGGAACATAAGGAATGTTGTAGGTGGAAGCAACATTGTTCAAAGACTTGAGATAAGGAGGACACATGGATGGAACTTTTGAGGAATTATGAGGAACTGAGTGTGGGAAGAGTGCAGGGTATGAAAGGAAAGGACTAGAAACAAGGTAAGTGGGTTACAGAGAGCACAGCCTTGTAGGCTAGGACCTGTGAGAAGGGTGGCCAATAAGGAGGGGATTTGGGTATTTACAAGAAGTTGTGGTAAAGCCAAGGCAGTAGGCTCGGCTCTCATCACACAGTCCAATCCAAATAAAGTTGATTCAATAGAGTGCATTTCCTCTGTAAATGCACCTTCAAGTTACTGATTTCCTTCTATCCATATTTCTATAATTTGGGACATATTTTTTTCATTTTGGAACAGAGTTGAATCCTTGAATAAGGCAGTAGAAATCAAGAGACAAGTTAAAAGAGTTAAAAAATATATATCTCTATTGGAGACTGGACAGCTGGCTCTGTGGTTAAGAGCACTGGCTGCTCTTGCAGAGGACCTGGGTTTGATTCCCAGCACCCACATGGTGGCTAACAATGGTCTGTAACTCCAGTTCCAGAGGATCTGAGGCCTTCTTCTGACCTTTGCAGGCATTGCAAGACATGGGTGCACTTACATGCATGCAGGCAATACACTCATACACATAAATTAAATTTAAAAAATATATAAATATGCCTCATATGCTTAGTTGGAGGTGATTTGTATGTACAAGAGCTATATTTTTATTTACAGAACTACATTAACTGTGCTGAAAAATTATATAATGCTAAAGTGGAAAGAGTTGACTTCACAAATGATATAGAAGTCACCAGATACAAAATTAATAAATGGATTGAAAATGAGACACGTGGTAAGTACAATTGCCTCCTTTTCTATAATATTTGCAGTTTCATATGACTATTAATAACTGTCCATTTGAAAGGTAGGAATGTTTCTGTAAAGAATAAATAGCATCTCCTAATCTAAAATATAGATCACTGTTACTTAAAATTAGTATTTGTCTGAAATGTGATTCAATTAATCTCAATATTTTAAAAATTCTCTTCATCACAATATTATATCATATTTATTTTCTCTAAGGATGTGACACTAGATAGGTTGGCCAGGCTCTAGTGAGTAGATGCACACTCAAAGACATTTGGGGACACAAATGTGGATTGATAGGCCTTAACATATATGACAGAGTACATGAAATCAGGAAGGAGGTTATCAGAGGGGTGCATATGGGGGAGGGGGTCTAAATATGATAAAAATATATTGTGTGAAATTCACAATATTCAATAAAAATATTAAAACAAAAGCAAAAACAAAAAAGCCCCTCAATCCCGAGGGAAGATCTGGATCACATAAACAGTGTTCATCCCAAATAGTTCATGAGAAACTTTGGGTAGGCACAGCTAGTTCATATTCTTCAACAAAAGATTAAAAAAGATAAAAATATAGCACATCACAACTGCTTTCTTGGTTGTTGAGTCTGGTTTGTGACAAAAAATTCAGTGATGTCAGGGACCGTGGCTTTCATGAGTTCAGTCATGGCATGGACAGTGGCTTTCATTGTTGCAATTTAAGTACCCAGAATAAAGGATGGTGTCTAAAAAAAATCTCATAATGTGAAATGGAAGGAATTAGTCCTTTTAGCTGACTGGGAGCTAATGTCTACATAAGTGGCAGTTTCATCCCTAGTCGGTGCAATAAAGGAGCTCTGCGGACTGCCTTTCCAGGTAGGAATCCTATTGCCATGTTTTGTTTGTTTCTTCAGTGTTGTTTCCATTTATTTTACTTTTAGTAATGTTTTCTATCTTACGTATAAGTGGATATATACTTTGTGTATAAAATTAAATCACAAACAAATTGATTTCTTTCTCTAATCAACATGACTAAACACCTGAGTTTTAATGTTTTCACAAGAGTCAATCTTACCATTTTCACTGGAGTAAGACTTTTTATTTTGAATATTTCTGTTTCCATTCAATGTATAGTCATGACACATAGTTTAACATAATACCTGTTGCTTTCAGGGGTTCAACCTGATGAACCCTCATGTCCAGTGAAGAGCTGTGGGCAAGGTTTCAGTCAACTCCATCTGTCAGGACTGCTCCACTCTCATTGGCCAAGGTGTCCTGATCTGACAGGGCTTTGTTCTGTTGAATACGATATTACTAAAGTTTCATGGTTATTCTCTGAGTCATTTAAATATTTTTCCACAAAATGCTCTGAACAGATGAACTTCTCGGGTTTCACTTCTGTTGTGATGTCTTTAACACAGTCCAAAAGTAGGTTTCTGTGTTTGTTATTAAATTCTAAGAAACTTCTTGAACTGTTTGTTTCTGATCAAATTCTGGTATTTGTGTGGCTGTGGCCATATTCTTTTGGAATATTTGTCTGTCACTCTTTCTGATGTATGAATTTCTTTTGTGTTTTGGAAAAGCAACTGAAGGTTGGAGTGCCTTCAGTGATGCACAAGTTGATTTTCTAATTGTTATTTTTATTTTATGTGTATGCATGTATTGCCTGCATGTAGGTAAGTGCACATGTGTTGTGCAATGCCGGTGGAGGACAGAAGAGGCTGTTGAATCCCCTGGAACTGGAGTTACAGACAGTTGTTAGCTGCCATGTGGGTGCTGGGATTCGAACCTAGGTCTTCTGAAAGAACAGCCAGTGTTCTTAACTGCTGAGCTATCTCTCTGGCCCTGATGCTTGAGTTCTTAATCTCAAGCTTTCCCATTTGAATCTGTATGAGGCTAAGAGGCTGTGATACTGGTTGACTCTGGGATGGAGGGGCAGGGTCCCTGTGGACACTAAAGTCCCTGAATGGCAAAGATCACGTGGGAATAGAGGTTACAAATGTTTTCTTGTTATGTGACTGACTGAATGAATTAATCTTCCTGTGCTTCAGCTTCCTTGACAGAAACCAAAACAATAGTAGCACCAATTTTATAAAGACTTTATGAGCTTTGAACCAAATACTAAAAGGATTTAGAAAGGGCTAGACATGCTTATTGCTGACAGATTATTGTTTATATCATAATGATGATGTGTTAAGAAAATCGTCATGATATTAGTGGTCCTTCAGCACACTTAAAAAAAAGTTTTACAGTAAGTATAACATTATTTCCTTCAACTTACTTTCAAAAGGCAAAATCAGGAAGGTATTAGGCGATGGCAGCCTCAGCTCCTCTGCGGTCATGGTACTAGTGAATGCTGTCTACTTCAAAGGCAAGTGGAAATCGGCCTTCACCAAGAATGAGACCCTAAAATGCCATTTCAGATCTCCCACGGTATGTAAATCTACAAAGTTTAAGGAACTTTTCCCCAATAGTATTCCTTTGTGTGAACTGTGGTATTTTTCAGAGTTCACAGTTGCTTTACGCATTTCTTCTGCATTGCCCACCATGTTAAGATCCCGCTCTTGATTTATAGAAGCTGCTTTATTGTCTAAAGCAAGTGAAATATTTTGCCCTGCCCAATGTGACTTAAAGTGATTAGGTAAGTCTAAAATTCATTTACATTTTATATCAGATGTGGAGAAATAGGGTTACATTAAAACTTGGTCTTAGTTTTATTTGTTACATATTTTTAAAATGCAAGTTTAGTAGTTAAAAATTCCTATTGAAATAGTCTTTATATATTGTCCCACAGAAGAAATTTATACCTGGAAGTACTGAGCCCTGATAACACTTAGTGATCAGTGTGACTGAGTGAGGAGACTGGAAATAAATGTTAACCCAAGCAGGCTGTCTGAAGGCATGGTACCTCTGGGAGGAATGAGAAGCCAATTCAGAGAGTAGGACAGGGATGAGGATGCACACCAGGCTCAGCCACACTGACTTGCCTTTCGTGGCCTGCCTTGGACTAATGGTCAGTCCTGATGTATGTTCATACAAGAGAGTCCAAAACTTGATAGAGCAAGTTCCTCATATGAGTGTTTCTTTGAGGAGAAAGAGATGAGCAAAGAAATATTTTGAATATTGTGTATGAAAAAATCACGAAATACAATAAATCACAATAAAGCACAGCTCTGGCCTGTGTTATCTTCTGACTGCCGTAAGAAACATATCAGGTAGTATTTATTGGCACTCTGGTGGCTGGGATTAACACGGTTTGTGAAGTTTTGTTTCCTTCTTCTATCAATGCCTCCCCTCATTAGCTGCACTGGATGCCTCATTTTTAACAGTAAAGACAAACAGCATTCCTGTCTCCTGGATTGTTTTATTTTTGTTCTAATGAAATTTTTATTCTGAAAAAGTATTACCTTATAATAAACATTGCTCTATGCATTCTTCCTGCTGGCCTGTACTCCCTGTGTGACAGCTTTGTGGAAGGGTAGACTATGCAGTCTTGATTTCAGAGTTGGTACCATCTATTAAAAGTTACTGAAATAGTCAGGCATGGTGGCACATGCCTTTAATTCCAGCACTCAGGAGGCAAAGGCAGGCGGACCTCTGTGAGTTCAAGGCCAGTCTGCTCTACATAGAGAGTTCTAGGCCAGCTGGGGCTACAGGGAGACCCTGCCTCAAAAAGACAAAAAAAAAAAAAAGGGAAAAAAATTTCCTTTATGGGGGGATACCTGGAAAGTTGTTTAGCCCCCAAGGGAGGGACCCATGCCCAAAAAAACGTAAGAAACACAGATTGGACTCCATCAAAAAAAAAAAAAAAAAAAAAAAAAAAAAGTGAAATAAATTTCCTTACTGGTGTGATACCTGGTAGGTTGATCAGTCCCTAAGGGAGAGACCCATGTCCAAGAACACGTAAGAAACACAGATTGGACTCCATAGAAAATAGAAAATAGCAAATAATAATAGAGGACATGAAGTCAGAGAGTAATAAGGTGCGGACAGAAAGGGAGAGGCGTGAATATGATTGAAATATATTATATGAAAGTCTAGATGATGAAAACATTAAAAATAAAGTTAGTGAAATATTTTTAGAGCATACATGACTTTTTCTCTGCATCAGTGCAGATATGTTACCATATGGCCAAGGCATCCCAGCCCCCACTTGTCACAAGCTCAGTTCTTATCTTTCTCACTGGGCAAATGCATTGTTTGCTGCTCCCTGCATGTTCTTTCTGAAAATTAGACTGTAAGTTTAAAAGGACATTTTTATTTTTTTACCAGAGGGAGATAAACTTTTGGTTCAAAGACAGAGAACTGTTCTTCCATGTAGATGCTTTATCTTAAAATGTGACATTACAGTAATGTTCTTAAGTTTGTCCATGATAGTATCAAGAGGAAAAAGATAGTTTATTAAACCTGTAAGGTATTCCAAAATATAAATGGTATCTTCAAGATAAGAGTTAGCATGTTTTCTTTCCTTAAGTTAATTAACATATTATCAACGATTTTATAGGAATTTTAACTTTTTCTAAGACTTCAGGGTTTTTTGTTTGTTTGTTTGTTTGTTTGTTTGTTTTTGCTCTTTCGGATTTTTTATTTTTTAGGCCAGGTCTCACTATGTAGCCCCAGCTGTCCTGGAGCTCCCTATATAGGCCTTCGCAGGCTTGCCTTGTTTTCATATAGGTCTGCCTGTCTCTGCCTCCAGAGTGCTGGGGTTAAAAGTACATGTCACCCTGCCCAACTGATTTCATTTGCTTTTAAAATTTAACTAATGGACTAATTTATTTTTATGCCTGGTGCCCATGAAGTCCAGATATCCCTGGCACTGGATTTACAGACAGTTGTAAACTGCTGTGTTGGTGCTGGGAACCAATGCTGGGTCCTCTGCAAGAGCAGCAAGTGTTGAACCACTGATCCATCTCTCCAGCCCTCTAAGACTTCATTCTTGAATTACATATATTTTGACAACTCTAGTCTGTATTTTGTTTCTGAAAAGGGGAAAAAGTCAACCACATTGATATTTTCATTTTAATAATTGCTCATTACTTATACTAAGTTTATACTTAGTATATCTTCTGAATATTGGCTATACCCTGTGCAGTGGGGCACTGTTGCCATCTCTATTTTGTGGATGAGGAACTGGGGGAAGAGAAATGAAGTGACTTACCTCAGGGGAAATTTTTTAACTCAGGATGTAACACAAAGTCTGTACCTTTACCACTAAGATGAATGTATCATGCAGCCAGTACTGGCAACATATCAGAAAAATCTACAAGGTTGACTGATCCAGTCCAGTATTTATATGTGTATTTGGTCAGTAAGAAGACATGGGATTGTAAATAACTTTTTGTGATTTGACTTCCAGTGTCCCGGAAAAGCAGTTGCTATGATGCATCAAGAACAGAGGTTCAATTTGTCTACAATTCAGGACCCACCCATGCAGGTTCTTGAGCTCCCATATCAAGGTGGCATAAGCATGTACATTATGCTGCCTGAGAATGATCTATCTCAAGTAAGTTACTGTTGTCCCTTCCACTTCAGGGAATAATGTATGCAGGATGCTCTTGATTATGGATTTTTGTATCTGTATATGTACTGTTCATATGTGTGTATTCGTGTTTGTGGCATGTGGGTATGTAGGGGTAAATGTCTGTGATACTTTTCTATGTGGAGGCGGCATCCCTCAATCAAAGCCAGAGCTCACTGATATGGTTCGTCTCACTCATTAACCAGCTTGTTCTGGTGAGCCCCATCTCAACCTCCCCAGATGGGAATTCCAGGCAGACTTCCACACCTATTCACATTTTATGTTGGTTCCGAGAATTGTATCTCTAGTCCTCAAACTTGTACTGCAGCTTCTTAATCACTGACCATTTTCTCCATCCCTTTGATTGTATCCATAGCTTTATGAGTTCAGATTGTTAAGATATTAGCTATTTACTCATGTATTCATTGCTGACAAATATTTAAGGACTATTTAGTGCCAGACACTTTATAGGTGATGAGATGGGCTTATCTCAGTTTATCATAATAGTTACTGAATAATTGTAAAAATGTAATCCCCTCAAATTTCAGCTATGATTTTCAAAGTGCATGGGTTTAGGGGGTTTTGAATGATTGACCATGAAAATTGTATTTTAAATGTTATTGGAACTTTAAGTATATTTAGGGAAGCATGACATGAAGGAATCTTGAGCCCTTGAGAGTTTAAACGTAATCTCACCTTGTATAAAACAGAGGTTAGGAGTTACACTGAGACTGACATCACAGGAGAATCAGACCAGCACAGTGCAAGGGGTAGAGAGCTGTTGGAGACTCTGCAAGCCAGGTGTCACCTTTGTTTCTAAGATCCTGCTCTTCTTTCAGTTTGCTCTCTCTTTTCCTCCTTCTGAACTTGATTCTTGGATATTATGGCCTGCACTGCCAGAGCAATGGATTGGTCTCCTCTCCATTCTTTGCTTCCTACCCCCACCAAAGGAATAGTAGGCACTGTATTAAGTAACTGCCACATGCCTGACCATGTGTTCTACATTTTACTCGTTATCTCATGTGAAACTTACAGCATTGATATCGATGTGAGAAAGGAAAAAGAGCATGGACTTTAGCCTGTCCAATACATATATGCAAACGTGTATCTGTGTGTGTGTGTTTGTGTGTGTGTGTATGTATTTTAGCTACACAAAGAAAATCTAATATAAATTTAAATATTTGTCATGCTTTAATTTGGAAAATAAGGGCCTTAATATAGAATAATTAGAAATTAGAAAGAATGTATAGAATTAAAACTTTTATAATTTTTTTTCAGTTTATTATTTATTTAATAACCACGTACTTAGGAGAAGCATTTCATTACAACAGCATTGACATATTCAATATAACAATTTTCTGAGCTAAGATGCATCTTTTTCAAAATTGGCTGTTAAATTTTAGGTTTACAGTTGAATTGTTACAGTTATACAATATTTTACTCAATATAAACCCTATAAGACATAAAATTAAATGAGGTTTTAACCTTTAAAAAGATCTCCATTTCATTATTAAAATACACAGTTTCATACAGAAAAATTCACTTTCAACACAAATTAACACTAAAATGCACGTGCATTTCTAATCTCTATATAACTGGTTATTACTAGTCACAGTAGGTTACTTTCTGAGCTCCTTGGCATCTGAGCACGGATATAAAGTCATCAGGTAGATTTCAATGGTAATGTTTTTCACATCTACTAATTATTATTATTTAATTATTTATTTCGTAATCAAATGATTAGAAGAGGCATTTCAAAACAACAGCATTGACATATTCAATAACAATTTCTAGAGCTAAGATGCTTCTCGTTCAAAATTGGCTGTAAATTATTAGATTTACAGGTGAATTAATACAGTTATACAATATTGTACTCTGTATAAATCCTGTAAGACATAAAATTAAATGAGGTTTTAAACTTTGAAAAAGATCTCCATTTCATTATTAAAATACACAGTTTCACACAGAAAAATTCATTTTTAATACAACTGAAACTAAGATGCATATGTGTTTCTAATCTCTATATACCTGATTATTACTAGTCACAGTCGTTTACTTTCTGAGCTCCTTAGCATCTGAGCATGGATATAAAGTCACCAGATAGATTTCAATGGTAACGTTTTTCACATCTACTAGTTATTAAGAAGCAAATTTTTATGCTTTGAAGAATTTTTTTTTATAGAGCCACTTCCCAGGCAGCACCCTCCCATAGTCTCCCTCCCCCCACTACAGCCCTTATACTCTGATATCCCTGCTACTGTCTGCTGTGTTGTCGGCACCCCCAGTCATTCCCCACTGCTTGTCCTTCTGGTGAACCTAGTCAGCCTATCTAGAGGTCTTTGTTTTAGGAGGGTCAGCTGTTCCTCATCTAGCGGTATTCAGTTGTCAATATTCCTTTGGATAAGATTGGGGCCCGCTGTTCAATTTCCCAGTTCTCTGCTGGGTTACTATCAGGGAATCCCTTTGGCCACCCTGGCCAACAACTCAGAAGGAGATATTGCCTGTCTGGCATTGTTGCTCGCTATGTAGCCTTTAGCTATACATATGTTCTCTTATGAAATTATATTGGCCCCTTTAATCTTTGGTTATACTTTCCTTTTGGGTGTTTAAGGCCACACAGTTGGTCCAGATAAACCGATTTATTTTCACTCTTAAGGTCATTTAAGGATCTGTTCCTCAGGGGTCACATGGGCTTGGGAGGAGCCCCTGGCTCCTTTCTTTTACCAGTTCCACCTATGTGAAGATAAGTCAAAGGTCCTGCTTGACCATGGTTGGCTTCGCTTGGAAGCATGGAGGAAATGATTCCTCTGTGTTGACCCTCCTCTTTATATACTGGACACTGGTTCAAGTACATCTGGTGCGGTCTCCTCAGACTCCTTGATCAAGAGGATGGGTGACCCACCACCATCATAGGACATTTTGAGAGATGCTCATAGTCCCCTGGATCTAGTTGACCTAGGAGGGCAAGGGCAAAAACTGTCCTTTATGTCCCTCTGACCAAATTATTATAGACCTCAAAGTATGTCTGTTAAACACCCAAGAAGGTTAGTTCCACCAGTCTGCTATTTTTAATTGCTGTGTGTCATGTAGATAAATCTTAGGCAAAGACCAGGTGTTCTCACATAAACCTTACCTAGACATATATTTCTTGATCTCCTATGTATAATTTGTCAGTAGGTTGTAGGAGTAATATGGATCTCTCTGGTTTTCAAAACTAGCTAGGCATTGTTTATCTCTCACATTGTCTCACCCCTCCATCATGGTTTTCCCTCTTAAGGTGCCCCCATTGCCCCCCTTTCTGCCATAATAATACCCTTCTCCTGTGGTCTTACCTCTCTTGAGCTCCTTCTTTCCCTTTATCCCCTAGGTTCCTTGCATATCCTTCCCTCCCCGCTCCCTTAAACTAACCCAATTTTTATTCATATCTCCCTTATTAAGGCCTGTTTCCTACTGTTCTTCTCTTTCAGGTTATTTCTTTTCCTTTTACTTCCCTGTTTCCTTTCCATTATACTGGTTTCTGTAGTTATGTCTGGTTGCATACTTATAACAGTCTGGTTCTAGGATCCACATATGAGGGAGAACATATGACTTTTTTTTTTCTGAATCTGTGTTACTTCACTTAGTATAACAGTTTCTATTTCCATCCATTTACCTGCAAATTTCATGATTTCATTTTTCTTTACTGCTTAGTAAAACTCCATAGTATAAATATTGTATAACTGTAACATAGAACCACATTTTCATTATCCGCTCATCAATTGAGGGATACTTAGGTTGCTTCCATCTCTTAGCTATTGTGAAAAGAGCAGCAACAAACATGGATGTACAAGTGTCTCTGCGATAGGATGAGTTCTTTGGGTATATGCCAAGGAGTGGTATAACTGGGTCAAATGGTAGGCTCATTTGTAGTTTTTTAAGAGTTCTCCACACTGCTTTCCATAGGGGTTGAACCAGTTTGCAGCCCTACCAGCAGTGGATGAGTGTTCCCCTTTCCCCACATCCTCTCCAAAACTTGGTATCATTTGTTCTATTGATCTTAGCCAGTCTGACTGGGGTAAGGTAGAATTTTAAAGTGGTTTTAATTTGCATTTCCCTAATTATTAGGGATGTTGAACATCTTTTAAGATGTTTCATAGCCATCTTTACTTCTTCTTTTGAGAACTCTCTTTTCAGCTCCTTAGCCCATCTTTTAATTGGGTTGCTTCTCGTCTTGGTTCGCTGTTTTTTGAGTTTGTTATAAATTCTGGTTATTAAACCTCTCTCTGTCTGATGTGTCACTGGTGAAGAATTTTTCCCATTCTGTGGGTTTTCTGTTTGCTTCCTTGGTTGTCTCCTTTGATGTACAGAAGCTTTTTAGTTTAATAAGGTCCCATTTGTTAATTATTGCCCTGTTTCCTGGACAATTGATGTCTGGTTTAGAAAATCCTTTCCTACGCCTATGTCTTGTAGGTTATTCTCAATGTTTTCTTCTAATAGTTTCAGAGTTTCAGGCTATACATTGAGGTCTTTGAGCCATTTGGAATTGACTTTTGTGCAGAGTGAAAGATAGGGGTTTAGTTTCATTCTTCTACAAGTGGAGATCCAGTTTTGCCAGCACCATTTGCTGAACATGCTGTCTTTCCTCCAGTTAATGTTCTTGGCCCCTTTGTCAAATATCAGGTGGCTGAAATTGTATTTACTCATATTTGGGTCTTCAATTTTGTTCCATTGGTCTATGGGTCTATTTTTGTGCCAGTACCATGTTGTTTTTATGATTATAGCTCTGTCATACAGCTTTAAATCTGGTATAGTAATCCCCTGGCATTGCTCTTAGTGTTCAGGGTTGTTTTGGCTATCCAAAGTCTTTTGTACTTCCATATGAATTTTAGGATAGTTTTTTCCAATTCTGTGAGAAACGTCAAGGGGATTTTGATTGGCCTTGCATTGAATCTGTTTATGACTTTTTGTAGGATGGTCATTTTCAAAATATTAATTCTTCCAATCCA